GGTGTCCGGCTGACTGTCCCAGGGGGACTAGGCAACCAGCCAGGTGGGAGGTGCTGCTGCAGTGGTGGCATGTGGTCCCACCCTGGGAGAAGTTGACCACATACGGCCTCCCATCCACCACAAAGGTCATGGAGAGAGGCAGGGTCTGGACCCACCTTGAGGAGCATGAACAGCTGTCTCTGGAAGGACAGGATGTGCCTGAGCCTGGGGTCCCGGCTCTTCATGGTTCAGCCTGCTCCAGGGGCTGATGAGGATGTCATAGCGCTCATGCACTTTGGTGAATTGCTGGTCTGGCAGGTGTGGAGGGATGTTGGAGGCCAGCACCCACACTGCCAGGGTTTCCAGGGGCGTGGCCAGGTAGTGGATGCCAAGACCGCCAGCCCTGCTGCACACACCTCCCTCACCAGGCCGGGGGAGCTCGGGTAGATGATGGGCACTGAGTTTACCTGGGATGCATACCGGATGTTGTGGTGTTCCACCAGGTCCACAAGAGCAACGGCGAAGGCCTCCATCCTGATGTGGAGAGGGGCATGCACCCGTAGGCCATGGCTGAGGGGCACGTCTGCAGAGACATCCCTGTGCCAAGTGCCCAGGCCGCTGGCAGCCCTCCTGGGCAGGAAAGGGTTAACTCTCCCACAGGGGCTGCTACAGGAGGGGGGAAAAGAAGCCTCAGACTGAAGCTGGGGACTGGGAGGGGTTTAAAACAGCCCCCAAATCAGCCCCAGGGGGGCCAGAACAGCCCTGGAGGGGCTGAAGGCAAGTCCTAAGGCAGGAGGAGGTGGCAGAGACCAGGGTAAGGGGCTCTGGAGGAGGGAGGCAGCAGGAAGCAAAGGGAGAGCACAGGCAGGAGTGGGGGAGGCGCAGAGCAAGGGAGGATGCCAGAGCCCGGGGCAAAAGCTCAGAAAGCAGGGAAAAGTGGCAGAGAAGGGGTCCCCAAGCACAGGCTGGGGAGAGGCAAGGTTTGAGGGTGGGGAGAGGAATGGGAGGGTGGGGGACAGGGAGCGGGGGCAACGTGCAGAAGGGATCTGATCTGCAGGAGCTCAGAAGGGCTTCACCTGTCGGTGCAGGACCTGCCACAGTGAGCGGCACCATGTTCTCCCTCTGCCCCCTTCCCTTCCCCGCCCCGGAAAATTTATCAGTGTAAATGTGTAAAAACCAAAAATGCAGAACAGTACTAATACCGCTGCTGTTAGTTGCAAGTCACCATTTGTGAGGATAACGGGATCTCCGTCAGACTCTGCTGTTGCCTTCTCAACACTGGCCCTGGCTTTCTCCTGGCCCTGGGTTCTGGAAAGACAGCACTGCGCCCATTGGGGCTGGGGCCATGGGCAGTGTGGGGCTGGGGCCCGGGCCTGTGGCAGAAATGCCGCCGTCTGTGCCCCTCTCCAGAGATCTGTCTCTGCCAGCGTGAGAGGCTGGTGTTGAATCCCTCAGGGAGGGGATCTTCCTCCTTGTCTGCATGACAAAAGCCTGGTACCCTGGATGTGGATGCTCTCGTCACCTGGAGAGGGGGAGGGAAAAGCCCCGCTCACCGGCCCAGGTGACCAGTGATGCTTTTTTAATTGCATGGCTAGTGGCTAGCACTGGCAGCTTCGATTGGATTGGGCTGCTGAGGTCAGAGAGGTTATTTAAAGGCTCGGGCCAGGAAGAAGGCACCCATTAGCCATGCGGTCATCCAGGTGAATCTGAAACTGGGAGAGGAGCTTCACCATCTGAAACTGGCTCTCTCCTCATCACCGCATGCTCCAAGAGTGGCCTGCCTCCAGAGGAAACTCCAACCACCTCTGGATGATGCGTGTGAGTAAGCTGCTCGAGGTCAGACTAGATATTTAGCTACAGTAACTCAGATGCGTGTTTAAACGGCTACCTCAGCCACCCTGGTTTGCTCTATGGGATTCCTCTGATATTCCTCTGAGATTTCCATGATATTGCTCTACCTTTTAGCCTGTTTCCACCCTACCCCCTATAATCAATAAAGTTCTCCTTTGTGACCGGTGTGGGAGACTTATTGAGGGGTGGGTCTAAATTATGCCGAGGAGGCCCCTTAGGTCTGCGGACTAAGGGAGACTTTCCTAATAAGCCCCTGACATGGCGAAGTGCCCCAAGTGCTTGTATTGGGTCTAGTACCCATTGGACAATCAGGCCTGTGTTCTCCAAGGTGCGCAGAGCCAGAATTGAGTCCAGAGCCTTGGATGTCCAGGGAAGGGGTCGGCCGGACGGGAGGCACCCCAGGGAGGCACTCGGAGCCCAGAAGGTGGTCGGTGCAGGGACTCAAATCAGGAGCGCCCCCTACTGGCCCGCCACAGGGCCCAGCGGCAGCAAGGGGCTGGGGCTGTGGGGCCAGGGCCCCCCAGCATCATGGGGCTGGTGCTGGGACCCACAGGCAACAGGGGACTGGTGCTGGAGCCTGGCTATGGGCAGCATGGGGCTGCAGCGGGAGCTGGGGCTGGGGCCTGCTGGCAGCACCAGGATGGGCCCAGAGCAGCACAGGGCTAGGGCTGCAGCTGGGCTGTTGCTAGTGCTGGGATGGGGCCAGCGGCAGCACCGGGCTGAGGTGCGGGGCCCACCAGTAGCACGTGGCCGGGGCCTTTGGCAGTGCTGGGATGGGGCTGAGTCCCACACAGGTGCACGGCCCCGGCGTTGTGCAGGCCCTAGCCCCATCCCAACACTGCTGATAACCCCAACCTGGCAGTGGCACTGTGCCGGGGCCCACAGTGGTGGTGAGGGCTGGGGCCAGGCCTGCTGGCAGCTGGCGCCACTTCCGTGGCTGGGGCCTGGGCCCAGTTCAGCCCCGGCTGGCTGCCAGGGTTGTCTGCAATGCCAGGACCTGCTCAGGCCCAGCCCCATCCTGACACTGCCGAGGGCCCGGGCCCAGCAGCAGCACGTGGCTGGGACCAGGATGGTTGTCAGCTCCAGGATGGGGCTGGGGCCTGCACAGGTCCATGGCCCCAGCCTGGCACTAGTTAGGACCAGCAGCAGCGGTAGTGCTGAGGCCAGGCTCACTGGCAGCACATGGCTGGGGCTGGGGCTGGGCCCAGGGCCATCTGCAGCGCGAGGATGGGGCTGGGGCCCATGCACGTCTGTAGGTGGAGGAGGTGCTGGCCAGGGCCAGGGCGACTGGCAGTGCCGAGATGGGCCCAGGTCCCAGCCTCATCTCAGCACCGCAGATGGCCCCGACCCAGCAGCGGTGCTGGGCTGGGGTGGGTGGCGGCAGTGCCGGCCAGAGCCGGGGCCATCGGCACCGCCAGGATGTGGCCGGGGCCTGTGCAGGTGCATGGGCCTGGGCCCCGGCCTCATCCCAGTGCTGCTGACAGCCCTGGCCCAGTGGCTGTGGTGGTGCTGGCCAGGCCCGCCGGCAGCACTTGGCTGGGGCCATCTGTAGCACCACCCTGAGAAGGGACTGTCTGGGTCCTGTGTCCTCGGGAAAACACAGTCCTAATAGTCCTACGGGTACTCGACCCAATACAAGAGCGTGTGGCACTTCCCCCAGTTGGGGGCCAAAAAGGATAGTCTCCCTTAGTCTGTAGACCCAAGGGGCCTCCTGAGCATAATTAAACGCACCCCTCAATAAGTCTCCTACAGCAGTCACAAAGGAGAGCATTATTGGTTACGGGGGGTAGGGGTAGAACAGGGTACAGGGTAGAGCAATATCAGAGAAATCCCATGGAGCAAACTCCTGTGGCTGGGTAGCCTTTGATCTCGCATCTGAGTTACTGCAAGCTGTATATCTAGTTGGATCTCAGGTAGGTTCCTCACAAGTATCATCGAGAGGCAGGTGGAGATTCCCTCTGGAGGCAAGTAGTTCCTTGAGCATGAGTTTTGAGAGAGAGAGCAAGTTTCAGATGGTACAGCTCTTCTTCGTTCCTGAGTATCCCTCATGGCTGCTGCCTGCCCTGCCTCCCCCCTGCCCGGGCAGTCCTTAACTTATATAGCCCTTGTGACCTCACTTATCTGCTCCAATGGAGGCCAGCACCTGTTGGCTGTGAGCCAACCAATTTGAAATACATCACTAGTTGCCAGGCAGACTCTAGCCCACCAGGAAGGAAGCCCCTCACCCAGGTATGTGATGCCAGTCACAGACAGAGGGAGCAGGTGGCATTGTCTCCTCTACTAAGAGATGGCAAGACCTGAGGGAATCCATTGGAGCTGAGGCACTTGGCACTGAAGACCGGCCCCTTGGACCTGTCCCCACTTGTTCTAGGTGGGCAGACAACAGAGAGGGGTTTGGGGATGAGGGACGCCTCTGAAGTTGTGAGTGAGAGCTCTCCACTATTTGACATACAAAGATGGTCCTATGGGATGGTGGAGCACCTCAGAACCTGAGGTGAGGGCAGCAAAAACACTGGGGCTTTTTGGAACCTGGAGAGCCCACACAGATCGATGTGCCCAGAGCCCAAGGGCTGAGCTGGGAGTTGTGGCACAGGAGAGCACTGCCTTGCGAGCCAGGGAAGTTGTTCTGGTGCTCAGAACCCCTCCCCATGCCCTCAAACCCACCAAACATGGTTTAAGGAGCCCTTGATGAGCTGTTTCTTTTAGTTGTTGTTGCTCTTTGAATCATCAAGCCATTTGGGGATAGCTCTTTCAGGCCTTCAGTCAGTGCAGATGTACTTAGGGATCTTCTGGAAGGGCTAGACATTTTTAAATCTGCATGTCCAGATGCCCTCCACCCAAGGTCCAGATGCATGTCAATTCTGCAACCATGTAAGCTGCCATGGGTCCAGGGCAGGCGCTGGCAGAACCCTGCAGCCTTTCCCCAGGGTTTGACTCTGCTGCAGGAAGGAAAAATGTGTGGTGGAGCCCTGCTGAGCCTGGCTCTGACTAGAGACAGATGATGCTGCTCAGATCTGATGCTGATTGGTCTCTTAGGCTGGGGCTTCCCAATCCATGGGGCTGGGACAGCATCTTGGAAGAGATCATGCTCAGAGCTTGGCAGAGAAGTTCTCAGTTTGGGGGGAACTGCTGGCTTCTCAGCTCTGTCTCCTGAGCAGCGATGGGGACAAGTGAGAGCCTGGGGGCTGGGAGCTGCTGGGCTGGGGCTCTGCTGGTGACATTGTTGTTCCTGAGAACCCACACGGCTCATTGCATGAGGTATCCAGGTAAGCAGAGACCTGTAACCCCCAGGGAGCACCTTGCTGGGCAGGTGTTGGGGGATGGTTCCCCACAGGCTCTGGCCTGGGGAGACACCAGAGGGGCAGGAGGTGATGTGAGGCCAGTAGGTTCTCACTGATGGAGCAGAGGCAGGGGACAGATGGTTGGGGGAAGATGGGTTCTCCATGTGTTGGGCAAAATGTGGACATGGGCAGCAGGGTCACAATGGTGCTGCAGGGGCAGGAGCAAGGGGGCAGAAGCATCTGCGGGGGAACGTCTGTTCACTAGAGCGCCCCAAGGGATGACAAGATTGAACGGTCACAAACTCCTCCAAGACCGTTTCAGGCTGGACATAAGGAAGAACTTCTTCACTGTCCAAGCCCCCAAGGTCTGGAATAGATTGCCGTCACAGGTGGTTCAAGCACCCACTTTGAACGCCTTCAAGAGACATTTGGATGTTTATGTTGCTGGGATCCTATGACCCCAGCTGACTTCCTGCCCCTGGGGCAGGGGGCTGGACTCAATGATCTTCCAAGGTCCCTTCCAGCCCTAATGTCTACGAAATCTATGAAATCTGTTTGGGTCAGGGGGATCACAGTGGTGCTGTGGGAGTAGAAGCTGGAAAGTAGCATGATGGTCACGGTGGGGCAGGAAATGGAGCCAGCTGGGGTGGGGGGTGGTGAGAGCAGAGCCACAACAGTGCGGGGGGGAGAAGCTCTGCAGTCCCTGGGGTGCAGGGGAAGGCAGTGGGCAGGGCTGCTGAGCCATTCCCATTAACTTCTTATTGACCATCTCTGTGGACGAGTCCCTGACCTACACTTCCTTTGTCCCCCTTCCCCCCACTTCAGAGCATTTCATGGTACAGGGCAAGCAAGAGTGTCACTACACCAATGGCTCTCAGCGGGTGAGGTATCTGGACCGGGAGATCTGGAACCAGGAGCAGTTCATTCACTTCGACAGTGATGAGGGCACGTGGGTGGCCGACACAGAGCTGGGCGAGCCGTATGCCAGGTACTGGAACAGCCAGAAGGACGTACTGGAGTACAGACAGGGCTTAGTGAACACATTCTGCCGACACGACTACCAGGCGATCATACCTTATTCAGTGGCCAGAACAGGTGCGTCCCTGGAGTCTGGGGCAGTGTTTGGTGGTGGTGAGGACAAGTAACTGCAGGGGAGACTTTCCCATGTCCCCCTCCCCACTTCTATCCCCACTAGTGGTCAGAGACAGCTGCTTCCATGCATGCAAGCAGGGCAGAGGCAGAGCTGCTCCCACAGGAGGAAGGGCAGAGGAAGGGGGCTCATTTGATGTGGGAAGGGCCAAAGGATCACATGGATCCAGTGAAAGGAGGTAATTTGGTGGGTTCAGGAGCTGTGGGGAGAGGTGGACAGAAGGTGGCACTGGGCTGGAGTCAGAAGCACCAACTTGAGAGAAGTAGGAATAAGATGGGTGCAGGGCAGGTGGGGGCACAGCACTGTCCTTGACCCATGAGGGAGCTGCAGGGACACTCCCTGGAGCGGGAGGCAGTTGGAGGTATTTGGGTGATACCGGTGGTTTCAGAAGTGGTCCAGGAGCATCAGGACCCACTGGGACTGAGAGGGGAGGCACACAATAATGGGGGCTATGGGATTGTGGGGGGGAGGCGAGCGCATCTCTTCTCCACTCTTGGGGTTGCTGTAGATGGCGAATGGCTGTGGGTCCTGGGGACAGGTGGGTGGCATCCACCAGTGACTGAAATCAGGACTCCTCTCCCTAGAAATCATTGGTTACAACAAAGTTTGCCTGAGGGTAGGGGCCCTGGGGTCACAGCCAGGAGCCAGGGGACTCACAGCCCTGTGGAGCCTTTCCCCCTGGAGTACAGGCAGGTCCCTGCTGTGTGGGAGGGGACACCACAGCTGGGGGGTTTACTGGGACCCTGAGGCAGCTTTGCCTGCCCAGATATGGGGCAATGTCCTATTTCTAGTATGCTACAAAATCAGAAGGGTTTCACTCATCCCCTACACGACAAGCTTACTGCTCCTGGTATTGGGCAAGTTGCTGCATTCTGGTGGCAACAAAAATGTTATCCTTATGAGAAATGCAAAGGCCTCTCCTGGGGAAGAAGCTGTGTCCCAAACCTGGGATGTGTTTTGCAGTCTCAGGGACTCCTACCAAAACCTCTTGTTGTCCACAATAGGAAGCCAATACGTTAGGGCAAGAAATATCGTGCTGCAGTCATAGAGCTTCGCCTCCAAACTGGAGCAGTTTCCCCCTGAGCTCTTTGAAGAGGAATCCAGAACTTTTGAAAGATGCTTCTGCATTTTTAGCACTAGGACTTCATTTAAGTGCTTCAGGAGATATTTTGTTCTTATTTAGGGGCTTAAGGTACCACTTCTCTGCAGCAAGTTTGTATTTTAAAAAAGTAATATGATTTGAAGCTTAGATTTAATTCAGCAAATACTATATTTTCTTGCACACAACATGCAGCACAGAATGAGACACAGATCTTGCTTTAGAAAGACAGAATCAAAAGGAAAAAAAAGTCTTTCCTTGTCATAAGTAACTGAGTAGCAGTGGGGGAAGAGGGAGAGCTGAGGCTGCTTCTTGCTCGAAGCTTCTTTAGTGTCCTTGAAGATTTTACTTTTACTTCAGTGGGCGGACGAGAATCTGATGGTGTCAAATGGGCAGACAAGAATCCGATGGTGTTCAATGCCGATAAATGCATGGAGCAGTTTCCCCCAAGCTCTTTGAAGAGGAATCCAGAACTTTTGA